GGAGTGGTAAATGAAACCGCCTCTAAGAAAAAGCCAAAGTTGGAGCAACAAAGGTCCCCTGTGCCCTTGGTGGATACGACCAAAATAAAGTTGTTGGAAGTTGGACTTGATGATCTGGTGAATGGTTTTCATTTGAAGGGCAATGCCCGTCTGCCCTCCTCAGGCATAGGGCCGCAAAACAGCCTGATACAAGGGGTTGGGGTGGGGGGTTCTGGGACTGGGGTGCGTTTACTGACAGGTGGTGATCCCTCCTACTCTGACAGTCACATAAAGTTTGTCTTCTGTATTCTTAAAACAGTTAAACTACTGCCCCCTTTACAGAAAGAAAAAAAAATAGTGTTTCCCTTGGCAATGAGAAATTGTACTTTAGCCCATAATTCAGTATCTGTTCTTACAGCCCCCACCCCGGGTTGTTCCAGGAGTGCTATTGGCCCCTCTGGGAGACATTGCTGTAGACCTTGGGTTTTATGAAGCATTGGTGAGAGTGACCCGATTACCCCCCTGTTCTGCCCAACCACTTAGGATGGGGGCTCAGAGAGGCTGGTGTGAGCACAGACAAGGGGGAACAAGCCAAATTCAAAGTGTGCAACCTATAGTTTTCATCACTAATTGGCTCCATACGAAACACTGGTTTTACAGATAGAGGAGGGCCCAGGCAGCCGATCCATAGACTACACAGAATCAAAACCAAACAAAGCAGGTTCTGACAAGATGCTGTAGGACAGAGTAAACGCCCCCTTGGAGTCCGACTACGGTAGAGGGCTTCATTCTTCAGAGATGCTGGTGGTGGGTTCAGCTGACCTCACAGTTAACAGTTGAACATGTAACCGGCACACCTGGACTACACTGGCAACAGCGGGGCGGGCAGTGAGGTCTGGATGTACCTTAGCAAAGAGGATGACTTGGTTGGCAAGTCTCAGGAGCCAACTAAGGGGTGAGTGTATTAGAAGCCCAGGCCCCTGTGGGAGCTTGGGCACCGCCAGTCTTACCCAGCTCCTCGACGTCTCATATCTGGCATGGGAACCACTGGCTGACCAGCACCCTCGGGAAGGAGTGGCTCATGTTCCCAGTCAAGGTTCTAGCTGGTGGCTCTGGCGTGAGAAAGACGGCTGGCTGAACCAGCAGTTTGTACCCAGCTGCCTCTACTCGTTCCTCAGCTTTCCCCAACGGTGGCCTGTACTGGGGGCCCTTGGGAAGCACCTAGCAAGCCACCTGGGGCCTTGCAGACCACCTTCAAATAGGGCAGGTGTCTGGGAGATCTGCAGGAAGCCAGTGCCCTTTGATGTCCCAGGAGCCCCTGCTCTGATGATCCTAATGGCCAGGACAGGAGCTTGGGGCCAGCCTACCAGGCAGTTTTTCCCAACCTTTCCTGCCAGGTTTTGTCCCAGGTGACATGGCTCACCTGGGCACCTAGTGCCCGCCTCTGCTGCCCAGTCACTTCCCTCAGCCTTTGTTAGAAGGTGGCCCATCCCAGGCACTGATGTGGAACCTTCGCAGCACTGGGGCACCTCACCTAGGGCTGCATAGCCTCTTCCTGCCCCAAGAGGGCCCCCACCTGCCCCATGGTGTTACTCCTCAGGGAGTAACTGGTGACGTCACCATCCAGACCACTCCAGTCAGCTGGGCCTGGCTTCTAGTCAGCAACTTTCACACAACCTTCCAGCTACCTCCCTGAGGTCAGAAGACAACGGAAGAAAGAAGAGCCAGGCCCTACCCAAAGCCATGTCAAGCCAAAGCCCGCAGCAATCCCCAGGGAGGAGGCTGAGGGGGCACTATGGGGCCAGGTGGCTGCCCTTTGGCCCCTTCATCAGCAGGTGAGGGTGGGGCCAGAGGCTGGTGGCCTCTCCCTCCTAAGGGGCCCTGCAGACTCCCTCCAGCCCCACATGGACACAACCAGCTCTCCAATCTTAAGAGTCAGCGCTTCCCCATGTGACATGGCCTAGTCTGTCCTGGCTCTCCCTGAGCTCCATGTCCAGTGCCTGGTGAGGAGCCAGTCTCCCAAGTCAGGTGTTCCCAGGAGCCGGCATGGCACCACTGAGCCTGCCAACCCAAGCAGAGCCCCCTCTGCGCAGCACCAACTGCCCACTGCCTTTCCCCAGGAAGAAACCAAGGCCCACCCTATCCACACACCCTCCTAAGGGGAGAGACCTCAGTAAGTAGTTGAGAGGCCCAGCACCATCTAGAAAGGATGTGGGGTGCAGGTGGGCAGCCGGGGTCTGGGTCTTCAGGTGGAGAGTGGCCAGCTGCTCAGGAAACTGCAGTTATGGAAGTTTCCAGATGGAAGACGCCCACGACTAGCCTGGGGGGTGGGCCCCTTCAGTCAGCACCCAGGAAGGCTTGGCAGGCATAGGCTCACCAGAAACTGCACCCTCTCCCCCTGCCGCACGTCCACACCATGTCTCAGCCCTCTGCTCCAGGTAGAATACCATCTCAGACACCACCAGGGCTAGTGACGAGGAGGATTCTGGGAAGCAAAGACCAGTGGGCCTACCGCCTAGGGCAGAGGGCTTTTGCTGAGTCTGGGCATGTCCCCATGGGAATGGTGCTTGGGTTCTAATAAGCCCCAGCTCCCCTCCCTCCACCCATTCCTCCCCACCGGACATCCCAGGCCAGGACCTTACCCATAGGCTCTTCCTTGAGTCCTGGGGGTCAGTCTGCAGAGCCGTAAGGATGGGCTTGGGTTCAGGGCCTAGGCATCACACCCCCCTGCTGAGTCAGCCCTGCCATCCCACCTCGAGACCAGGACCAGCCACTGAGAGGCAGGAAGAGGTGGCTCTTGCAAGTCTGAACCTACTCGGGCCACTGCAGCCAAGTCATCGGACTTATGGGATTGGGGGGGGTTGGTGTGCAGGGGCGGGGCACCAAGTGAGATCAAGGCCTGCAGCACGTGTGTCTGGAGCCAGGGGCAGGCTACTTGCTCCTGGCCGTTGGAACTGCCCCTGGAGTCATGCCTGGCACGTGGCAGAGGCTCCAGGCATGCTCGCTGAGCAAAGCACAGGGCACTGGCAACCCCGCAGCCCCGCAACCCAGCTGGGTGAACCTGGACCAGGCACAGATTGCAAAGACTTGGTCCAGCTCCCGAAAGGCTTAGTGACTGGCCAGGCCTTCCAAACTGGGGCATTGCAGGTAGGAACTGGGGCTCCGGTGATGTGGGGAAGCAGCTTCCCCTCCTGTGTTTACAAAGAAGACGCCAAGCTTTGAATCCTGACCCTTTCGTGAGCAGAGGCTGTCAAAACCCGGACTGCCCCAGGCCTGGGTGCTCACAGGAGAGGGGTCAGGCAGACCCAGGTGTTCTCCTCCGATTAGTTCCGTAATTCATCTGTGCCTCCTCCATCTATAA